CCTGCCCGGACCCGGTTTGTCTGGTTCTCCCCGAGCGGCTCGTTTCTCGAATTTCTCCCTTTCTGCCTCTTCCTGGACCTCCGGGCCCTCCCTCTCGGCCTGGCTCCTGAGGGCCCCGCGGGGGGCGTCGCGGCCCCGCGCCCGCCGAGTTTCGGTAGGACCCACCCTCGACGGGAGGGGGGCGGGAGGAAGCGGGCGCGGCCGGAGGGCCCAGCGCGCCCCGAGGACCCCCCTCCTTGGGGATTCCCCGCCCTGTGATCCCCCCGCCTTGGGGACCACCGCGCCGCCCGGGGACCCTCCGGTCCCTGGCTCCGCGCGCCTCGCCGAGGAACCACCGCTGCGCTGCCTGGGACGCGCCTTTATTGGGGCCGTGGGTACCTGCGCGTGCTCCCGCCACCTACCCCGCCTCCTCCGAGTCCCCGCGCGGTCCCACAGGGGGTTAAAGCAACACTGACTACCGCTCCCGGACAGGAAGTGACTGGGGCGCGGGGAGGAGGGGGCGAGGCCGCGCGGGCGGGCTCCACGGCCAGATGTGCGGCTCCAGCTCCAGATGCTGTCCGTCTCCATCGCGCCCGCCGTCGGAGCTCCTCCCGCCTCGGCCTGTGCCAGTCTGCCCAGCGCGCGGAGGTCACCAAGCCGCAGTGAGGGGCCGGCCCGCAGCGGTGGAGGGGCGCCGCGCCTCCTCTGAGTCCTTCCCCGCGCGCTGGCCGACTCTGGGGCTGCCGGGCGCTGCGGGTCACTCGCAGGCCAGCTTCCCGTCGAAACTGGAGAGGGCGATGGCGAAGGCCTGCAGGGCGCACAGCGGGTACCGGTAGTCCAGGGTGAAGGCGTCCTCCGCCACGCGGCCGAACTGCAGCACTATGTAGTCGGCTGCGGACACAAGAAGAGTAGGGGCGGCCCGAGGCCTCCTTGGACCACCGTCCAGGCAGCCAATGTCCTCACCACGGGGGAAGTCCCTCTTCCTATGGGCCAGGCCAGCCCCACCCGTACTTCACCGCCTGTCGCTGTGAGCCCCAAGGGCAGGGGACTGCCTTATCGGCCACTGCCCGGAGCCTGCTCCAGCAGGCACTTACTGAGCTCGTGCAGGACCCTGTCGAACTCCCCAAGCCTGGAACCCTCCCTTCCCAATGCTCAGTTTCCTTCGGGCCCATTGCTTTGCCCCCCTCCCAGGCCCCAGGGTGGACCCCAGACTCAGTCCCTTCACGCATGCCCGGTTCCCTTCCTTAGCCGGTGGCCCCACCAGCCCCCTCCCGTTCTGATCCCGAGCCCCCACCCCAATCCCAACACCTCCCCCAGCATCCATAGGGACAGGAAGTTGCTAAAAATACCCCCCAACTCTAGCCTGGTGGCTCCACCAGAAATGTGATCCGGAGAGCAGTCCCAAGGCCAGGGGACAGGTGACACTGGGGCACATCCCTGGAACACAGTGTGGGGGTGTTGCACGGCATGGCCCTACCCCATAGAGCCACAGTCCTCTGGGAGATACCTTTCCACCCCAAACTTCCTCATCCTACTGGGAGCCTCTCCCCAGGGCTTGGAACGGGGACGTTTTCACTTAATTGCGTTCCAGGAACATCTTGTTTCCCTCCAGGGTAGGCTTTTGGCCTCACTTAAAAGAAGACTTAGACTCAGAAATGCCTGGTTAATATTCCCTGCTCCAAAGAGGTTAGAAACATGGGCACTGGAGCCAGACGATGGGAGTTCTGATCGAGGAGCTACCTCTTAGTAGCTGTGTGACCCTGGGCAAATTACTCAACCTCTCTGTGCCACCCGTTTTCTCATCTGCCAAATGTGGATAGATACAGTACCTTGGTCATAAGGGTTACTGAAAGGATTTAACGAGTCATTATTTGCAAAGCCCCCAAATGATGCCTAGCACACAGAAAGCATTGGGTCTGTTTTGTGAAATAAGTTTTGAGGAGCAGTGTCACTTGCTGGAGGAGCTGGGAGACTGTACACAGGGTGTCCTCCCTTTGATCACACAGGGGCTTAGTGGGTGCCCTGGTTTTCCAGCCCTAGCAGCAAAACCCTGCCTTCAACACAGTTTTACCCAGAATGCCTCGGCTCTAGCTCTGGGCTCCGTGGATGCCGGCACCGTGGAGACACCTGCTTGACATACCCGGGCCGGGGATTCCCGGAGACTCACGGTCATCGGCGTGGACGATCTGGAAGTTCTTGACCGAGGCCTGGGTGACCCGGCCCTGGAAGTTGAGCGTGTAGGAGCCACTGTCCTCGTTCCACACGGGCGGCTTGTTGTGCAGCTCGATGAGGCTCTCCAGGGTCTTGTTCTGCCACCGCACCAGGAGCCCGTCGCTGGCCTGGGGGCCCAGGGAGGCCAGTGAGAGGCGGCCGGGACAGCGGGCGTGGCGCTCACCGGGAAGGGGAGCCCTGTGGGGCCCGGACAGTGCGACCCATGAGAACCAGGGCTGATGTGCTGCCACCCCCAGTTACATCCAGGGCCCAGAGTTGGGCTCGGGAGGACGGCCAGGTGGACAGCGGCTGAGGGTGCCCGAGGAGGGGCTTCTATAAGGAGGGAGCAGTGCGGGGAAGACGGTGCTTGTGAGGTTTCTTTCCCTTGTCACACGTTTGTGTCCGTGCCTCAAGGCCCCCTCTTCCGGGAAACTTCCCGACCCCAAACCTGATGCAGATGGCCCGGCCCCGAACGCCCATGGTGTCTGCTCCCCTGCCCCTCCACTGTGTGCAGAGTGCCTCAGCTTCCCTCCTGTGGGGCTGTTGTGAGGACTCAATAGCACATGGGATTTTTTTTTTTTTTTTTTTGGTACTGGGAATCAAACTGAGGACCTTGCACTTGCCAGGCAGGTGCTATGCAGCTGAGCTACATCCCCGGCGGCACATGGGATGTTATTTAGAGCAGTTCCTGGCAGGGACTAGGTAAATGGTAAATGGACTTGGTAAATGGTAGCTATGATTGCCGCTATGTCGAGTTTTGGATCTCAGTGCCTGGCCCAGAGCATGTGTTGAAGAAATGACAGTACACACCAGGCACGGTGGCACGCGTCTGTCATCCCAGCACCTGGGAGGCTGAGGCAGGGGGATCGCTGCCAGTTGAAGGCCAGCCTGGGCTACATAGTGAGACCCTGTCTCAAAAGACCAAAAAAAAAAAAAAAGACCAGTGGCCAGAGAGGGATGTGTGTGTTTCCTCCAGGCAGGGAGAGGGGCGCTGTGGGACCCGCAGGCTGAGCAAACCCCCAGCGCGAGCCTCCCGTGGCGGCAGCCCCGTGGCTGACCTGGCCTCCGATGCGGGCATGACTTTCCAGCAGGGACGGGTGTGCCATCAGCTGACGGCGGTATTACTTTTCATTGTAAATGAGTAAAGTGACATCAGTCTCCTGTGCGTACGGGATGTGCCTAGCATCCGTCTCCCAAGTCCTGAGCTCACCCAGCCTGGAGGGACAGTGCCCAGTGCTTGGACAGGGCGGTGCTCTGTCCACCTGCACCCCACCCCCACACACGCAAAGCAGCCTCTGCTTGAAAAAAGAAGTCACTTCCTCACTTGGAACCCTGCTTTGGCTTTCCATTTCTTCAGCACAAAAACCAGTTGTACGGGCTCTCTCTGCCCCTCGCCCTCACCTCTGACCTCATGGCCCTGGAGACAAGAAGGCTGCACCCAGCAGGCACTCTGGGCCTCAGGGCCTTTGCACCGGCTCCCTCTCCCGAGTTCTGTCCCAGATCACTGCAGACCATACCCTCACTTGGGGACTGCTCCCCTCCTCTTCTAAGAACCCACTGCAGCTTTTTTTCTTTCTTTTTTTCTTTGGCCTTTTTGAGACAGGGTCTCACTATGCAGTTCAGGCTGGCCTTGAGCTCACTTTGTAGCCCAGGTTGGTCTCCAACTCTCAAAGATCCCCCTGCCTCAGCCTCCCAAGTGCTGCGATGACAGGCGTGCATCACCACTCCCAGTGTACTGCAGCTTTAATACGGAAACACGCACTTGGCGTCCCTTTTCCATAGCGCCTGGCCACTTCTCCCCGTGCAGCGTGGCTGGCTTCTCACAGCTGCAGTATGCGTCTCTCCTGTTGCTAGAACGCCAGCTTCTGCGGGGGCTCGCTTTTGGGCTCTGGTCCCCGCCCCCCTCCCCCGCCCCTGCTGGGTACTGCCCGGCACTTGGGTCCCCAGCGGGTGTGCAAGCTGACCCCATGTCAGCTGTGAGACCCGCTGCTGGCCTCCAGGGAGTCCCTGAATCCGTCCTTCAAGCTGCCGAAAGGAATCTGCTGAGGGCGCTCAGAGGCTGGTTGCTGGGTAAACTGAGTCCCCACTCTCTGATCCCCCGGGACTGGGTCACGCCGTGGGCTCAGGGCTCACATTTCGCGGCCGGATGGGGACCCTCTCGTTGTCGGCGTTCATGCCCGGGATGATGACGGTCATGCGCCGAGGCCCTCGGAAGCCCAGCACGTTGGTTTCCTGGGGGCAGATGCGGTCAGGCGGCGGGGAGGGGCCGGGAGGGGAGCGGGGAGGGTCCGGCGCGGGGATGGGGTCCTCACGTAGATCACAGCCGCCAGCTCCTGGCGCAGGCTGCCCACGTCGCCGCCTGGTCCGCGCTGCGGATTCTGCCCGGCGTCGAAGACGGTGAAGCGGTTCCCCAGGAGGTTGGACCTGCAAGCGGGGCAGGGTTGCGGCCGGGCACAGCGGCCTCCAAGCCCTGCGCCAGACCCTTTGAGAGCAAGGGGTGGAGTGGCTCAGGCCTGAGCACTTCCTGTCCCTGGCCTGGCTTCCCCTCTGGAAAGGTCTTTTTAATTTTAATTTTATTTTTCATTTAATTTTATTTTTTGGATAGGGTCTCACTATATAGTTCAGGCTGGCCTCCAACTTGAGGTGATCCTCCTGCCTCAGCCTCCTGAGTGTGGGGATTATAGGCACACACTACCACAGCCAGCACCGGAGAGGTCTTTTCTGTAAGCTCAATCTACAAAGACACTGGGTACCATTCAAATCTCACTTCTACGTCTTCCTAGCTGTGTGAACTTAGGCAAGTTACTTAACCCTCTGAACCCCGACTCTCCATTTTGCAAAATGGTCACACTGGGTTGGTAAATGATTATATGGGTCAATATTTGGAAGTTGCTTAGAACTGTGGTGACACATCGATGCATCCATTAGCCCTGTATGAGTGCTGTTAATTAAATAAGTAAATGCCGGGCGTGGAGGCGCAGGCCTGTGATCCCAGCACTTGGGAGGCCGAGAGAGGAGGATCGCTGTGAGTTCAAGGCCGGCCTGGGCTACAAAGTGAGACCCTGTCTCCAAAAAAGAAAAAAAAAAGAAAGAAAGGAGGCCCCAGGGCGCCCACCCTGCCTAGGTGAGACTGGGTGTGCGTGGGTCCCTCCGGGAAGTGCCGTCCCCGACAGGAGGACACGGGTGACCGCCCCGCCCCGCCCCACCTCAGCTTGCCGATGAAGTTGTCCCCGCCGCGGGACAGGTTGGTGGGGTCGCTGGAGATGAGGTAATTGGCTGTCTTGCTGCGCTTGCGCTTCCGGCCGGCCAGGAGGAAAACCTGGAGGGCGCCGGGGGCGCGTCAGGGAGGACCCACGACTGGGGCCAGCGACAGCGCCCGCGCCGCGCCCCGCCGCCCACCTTCCGCTCGCAGTCCAGGTGCAGGAAGTAGGAGGGGTACATGCCCCGGTCCATGCCCTTCTTGTCGCGGGTGAGGCGGCAGCGCACCGTCCGGCCCTGCGGGGCGGGGCGCAGCACGAACTCGCGAGGGTCGTCCACCTCCACCGGCGGGGACGCGGGCCTCTCCTCCTTCTGCGGGGCACAGGGGCGTCAGCCCAGGCCCGCTCCCCACCTCGGCGGGTCCCCAGGTCGCACACAGGCAGAGCCACCCGCACACTCACCACTTTCTGTGTGGCGAGAAGAGCAGATGAGCCGCCCTGGTCCCTCAAGGTGGGGACACCTCTGCCCCCAGCACCCCTATCCCGTGTTAGGGGGTGTCTAGGGAGCTTGCTGTTTCATTATCAGTTTGTTTCCCTTGTGACTAAGCTCAGGCTCTGGATTCAAATCCCTGTGCCCTACAGCAGGGCATGGTGGTGCACGCCTGTAATCCCAACACTCAGGAGGCTGAGGCAGGAGGATCGTCGTGAGTTCGAGACCAGCCTGAGCTACAAAGTGAGCTCAAGTCCAGCCTGAAACGCATAGAGAGACCCTGCCTCAAAAAGACCAAAAAAAGGGGGCTGGGGATTTAGCTCAGTGGCAAAGCGCCTGCCTGGCAAGCGCAAGGTCGTGAGTTCGGTTCCCGGTACCGGAGAAAAACCAAAACCAAAACCAAAAAAAGAAAAAAAAAAAACCAACCAAAAAAACCCCAAATCCCTGTACCCTGCAGAGGGTCCATTGTGCTTGTGACATTTTTGGGTCTTTACTTTCCTGTGACATGTCAACACACCAACCTGGTGACGTAGTTTGAGGGGGGCACATCTCATGGTGGGGTGAACGCCCAGTCACGCTTAGGACCCACAGAAGGGTCTTCGTGAAGTTTTAATGACCACATCTCAGTTTGTTCATTTGAGAAGTGGGTCTTGTGTGGGTGGATCCCTGGGGCCTGACTTAATTTAATGTACACATTTAAAAACGCTCATATCTGCTGGGAGTGGTGCACACCTATAATCCCAGCACTGGGGAGGCTGAGGCAGAAGGGTTCCCCTGAATTCAAGGCTAGCTTGGGCTCCATAGTGAGTTCAAGGCCAGCCTGAACTACATAGTGAGATCCTGTCTCAGAAAATAAAAATATTCAGATTCCCAGATATAAGCATGGAAAATTGGTCAAAAAGAAAAAAAAAATTAGGCATTAACTGTTCCTTTCAGTAAACCATTAGACATCAGCAGTACAGTTATCCCAGCTATCCTTCTGTATACATATATATATATATTTTCCCTTTTTTCTTTTTTTCCTTTCTCTCATCCCAGTTGTTCCTTCCTTTAAGCAATTTCTTTCTCTTTCATCATGTCTATTGTATGTTTTGGGTTTTATTTACTCTTCCAGGTTCTTACACTAGTTTTTATTCTTTTTAATGATCAATCTTTGATCAATCTTGCATTCTTACATCTGGTAATTTGAGCAACTTCATGGAAGATAACAATATGTAATATATCAACCACTGTTCATTCCTATCATTTTGTTCTGAAACCCTGTTATCATTTTTATTGTTTTTATTGTTTTGTTTTTGTCTATGTTGTTGGTATTTTGCTATTGTTCTTTTTTTGTTATTCTCCTTAAAATAAAAGAATAAAAATAAAAATATTTATTTAAACTCCACCAAACGTGTTCTAAGTGCTTTCTAAAGAATAGCTCTTTTGGGCTGGGGGGTCACCAGGAATCAAACTCAGGATCTCATGCTTGCCAGGCAGGCACTGTACCACCGAGCTAAATCCCTGGCCCAATATTAGCTCTTTTAACCCTCACATGAACCCTCCGGGGCAGCTGTTCCCATTGTACAGATAAGGAATAAAAGTCTCAAGAGAAGTGAAGTGACTTCCAGGGTTTCCATAGCAGCAAGCGGTGGAGCTAGGGTTTGAGACCTGCCTGGTCCCTGTCTGGCTCAGGCCCTTAGGAAACCTTCCCTCCCGTGAAGGTCACGGTTTTGGGTCACCTGGGGCTGCCGGACACACTGCTGTGTTCTATGCAGGGGCACGTGCTCTCCCAGCATTGCTGGCTCTGTCACAGCAGCACATGGCAAGGACGGAGTGGCCCCAGGGACCCATGCTCCCAGCATTTAGCCCCCTGGGGTCGCCTCTTTCCACAGCAGTCTCGCAGCCGCCGGGACATGGCAGGAGCTGTGGCGATTTCCCAGGTTGGGGCATAAAAGCGGCTGTGGCTCCTGCCTGGCCTCTCTGCTGGCTTCCAGGAGAAGCTGGTGGCCACTGCGTCCAAGAGTCCTCAGGAGCCCTCAGAGGGCTCCAGCCAGCAGTCACAGCAGCAGTGGAAGGGGGCTGTCCATTTCCAGGCAACCTTTAGACGGCCAGCCTCACCGAGGACCCGAGCCAGACCCATCCCGCTGAGCTGCTCCTGAGTTCTGACTACGAAACTGAGTCAGTAACGGTGTTGTTTGCAGACCCTGGGCTTTGGGGTGATTTGTTAGCAGCAAAGCATGTAAATCCTGTAAGGCCCTGGGATGGCCCGGCCGTGACCCTCCTATTTTGAGGCCTGGTTTTTGTCCTCAGATTCTGTCCCTTGAGGAGGGGAAGGTGGCTGGGCAGCCTGGCGTGGGCACCGGAGGGTTAAATGCTCTCGGGGAGCACGGAGGAGCCCTGGGGTGCAGTGCTTTGCTGAGGGCAGGTTGCACCATGTGGGAGGTGAGGTACAGCCGCAGGCCCTCACCTAGGGGCAAGTGGTCATGCAGTCTCCACTCCAGCCTGCCCCAGAAGAAACTTGGGAAACACAAGGCTATGTCTGGAATGTGATGTGGAGCAAGCCGGAGCTTATCCAAACACTTCCACAGTGGTGAGTTTCAAGGACCTACTGTAATGAAGGCTTGTGTGCAATTATATTCCCCCTGGGAGATAATAAACTGGCCTTTCGGTTTATACATCAGCATGTGGTGAGCTTGGTTAATGGGAGTCAGTTCCCAAGACCCAGTCACTCCTGCACAAACTAATGACCCCGAAAAGCTAAGACCAGGGTCCTGCTCTTGGAGGGGTCTCCACTGAGGGATACCGGTCCTGTTTATGCCAGCAGGGGCAGGATTCAAAATATTCAACAACGTCCTCTGCCCATAGAGATGGCCAACCACAAGCGACAGGGGCCAGCTTGGACGGGAACCTGGAGGCTGGGGAGGCAGAGGTTAATCCTTTGTTACTGGCCCGGAGGCTGAGAGGCCCTAGGTGGGGGTCTCGGAGCAGCGGGGTGGAAATACAGCCAGCTGAGTGTCACTTGGTATCCCCAGAGCTGTGGACAGAGGTGCCCCTGCCTGTGTGTGCCACCTCCCTGCTTCTGTACATGTGTCTCTCCTACTGAGGGGGCATCTCTGGCCAGAGCTGACAGGATGCAGGGTGGTGGCCTCTGACACCAGGGGAGAGAGGGCCCAGACCAGGCCGGTCCTAGCCTGGTGATCCCCGGTGCCCTGTGTCCTTGTAGCACAGGAGGGGGAACCAGATTCTGGCATAAAGTGACCCCAAGCCCAACCCCCGATGCCCACATGCCAGCCCCCCAAGTCTGGACCTGCCTGACCTTTTTGCCTTTTCCTTTCGCTTTGCCCTTCTGATTGCTGTTCTTGGTTGCCACAGCTGCGCCCTCCTCCTCCTCCTCCTCCTCCTCCTCCTCCTCCTCCTCCTTTGTCTCCTCTTCTGCGCCTCTTGGTGGGCCTGGCATGGGGGGAAGAGGTTGTTGGCCCCTCAGCTGCCTGGCTGAGACTCGCTTGCACCCTGCCCACAATGCAGGAGGGCCACCCCGCGTGGTCAGAGCCTCTGAAAGACTAAGACATCTGCCTGGCGCCATGCAGCTGTCAGGATGACCCCACATTTCTTTTTTGAGACAAGGTCTCACTGTGTAGCCCAGCCTGGCCTTGAACTCAAGGTGACCCTCCTGCTTCAGCCTCCCCAGTGCTGGGACTACAGGTGTGCACCCACGCCTGGCTGACACCCTACCTTCTAACTCTTCAGCCTGCCCTTCTTCCCTTGCACTGAGCCATGTGTTACAAAGGTGCCCAGCTCCTACACAGGGCTCCCGCAGACATCACAGCCCCGGGGTCCTGTCACCCACCTTTCTTCTTCCCAGCCTTCACAGCAGGGCTCCCTTCCCTGACCAGGAACATGGCAGCTGGGGTCTTCTTCTCCTCTCCTGCTGGGCTCCCCATGGGATCCTTCTCGGCCTCCCCAGCCCCTGCACAGGTACGCACGAAAGGGTCACCACCCCCACTGCAGCTTGAGTCAGTCCCCTGTCCTCCTGGGGTGGCCTCACCTTTCTTCTTGGCCTTTTTCAATTTAGTGCCGTTCCCAGCTTCCTTGTTAGCACGAAGAGGCTTCTGTGGAGGCTTCGGGCTTCCCAGGTCCCCTGGAAATGGGAGTTGGGGACAAAGAAAAGGCTGACTGGGTTGTATAGGGCCTTCTGATCCCTGTTCTTCCTCTGGTCCCTAGGGGGGCCAAAGGCCTGATAGGGCTCCTAGCCTGCCTCTTGCTTGCGTTTCTTCCCTGTGAATGCAAAAAAGTTGCTGTCAAGACACATGGGCATGGTGCCCCATGTCTCTAATCCCAGTGCTCTGGGAGGCTGAGGCAGGAGGATTGTAATTTCAAGCCCAGCCTGGGCAATTTAGCAATTTAGTGAGACTTTGCCTAAAAAAAAAAAAAAAAAAAATGGCTGGGGATGTAGCTCAGTGTGAAGGCCCTGGGTTCAAGCCTAAGTACCCTCCCGACAAAAGTGCCAGACCGAAAAAAAAAAAGTGCCAGACAAAGGGAAGAGCTAAAAAAAAAGGGGGAGGAGCTTAGAAAGTAATTACTGAATGAGTGTTAGTGAACGAGTGAATGCACACCAGGCCTTGTACCTGAGCCTCTGCGTCCTGCCAGGGCACCCTGTCCTCCAGGAAGCCTCCCTGGCCACCCCCGCGAGACTCCAGGTTGCAGGTGTGGGGACACACACGACTCCTGGCCTCTGCGGGGGAGGTGTCCAGGCCGCAGCCAAAGCGGCTGTTAATCACTGATTTCTTTGTACTGAATCATTTGACATCTTTATAAAAATTGTAACACGATTTCACACCGAGCGAAGAAACCAAAATCACCAGAGTCCTCCGCCTTTTCTGGGCTCCCAGAGCTCCTCGGGCAAGGCGGGCCTGGCTTGGGGGGCGGGGTGGGACGTGAGGACCGCAGGGTGGGAGCCCCAGAGGGAGCGCCCTCGGGTGGGGACAGGTCAGGTCCGGGTCAGGTCAAGAGTCACGTGCTAGGTCTCTGTGTCTGCGACCCCAGCCCTGGGCCACCGCACTGCGGGCACCCACCCCTGGGGCCCTGGGTCTTAGTCCTCCTGTCCTTCTTGTCCCCGGAAGCCTTGTCCTTCGGGGGCTTCCTGGCAGGCATGGGACTTTTCTTTTTCTTTTCTTCATCCTCTTCCTCTTCTTCCTGGTCGTCGTCTTCCTCCCCTTCCTCTGCAAACACAACCTCCTCCTAGTGTGGGGGCGTCAAGGACCCTTCTCTGGGAGCCCAGTGGGCACCAGGGGCAGAAGCCCGCCCTCTGGGAAAAAGGCAGGAAGGAAGGTGACCCCGATGTCCCCGGGGTCTCGACCTCCTTGCCGGGCCCGTCCCCCCCAGTAGGACCCACCCTCTCAAGACCGCGCCCCGCAGGCTCCGCCCTCCAAGGCCCCGCCCATTCCACAGACCCCGCCCCTCGGAAATCACCTGCCCACGGCCCCGCCCACACAAACAGGGCC